TGATAAGAAAAAGATTATAAGAAATATTTCTCAATTATATTTTAGAGGTATAATGATCAGAAGTGAATATCCACGTATTTCAAATAACCCTTTATTTATGGTATGTACATTAATTGTTTGTTCATGTACTCTTCCTACCCAATTTTATATGTTTAATAATAACTATCTAGGTTGTCAATTGGCTCTATTTTATATCTTATTTTACAAATCAATATTTTACCATATAAAGTTAATGCAGTTTAACTGTTGAATTGAGCTCTTACAATAACTTTGTCCCAATTGGTTTCCTACATTGAATTGATACAATAATTATTAATAATGTAAAAATATATGATTGTGGTTGAGGTAACAGGAAAATGTGAAAACATATTAACAAGACAAACAATTCCTTAAAATAAATGAGAAGGAAACTTTGGGACATCATATAAAGGTAATTGATCAAGAAGAAAATTATGGGACAGACATTTTTACTACTTTAATATAAGTATTGCATTAATAAGTAAGATTAAACTTTGGCTTCATTCAAACTTTGTAATCCAAAAGGATTGACATAATTGATCGAGAGAACACTAATATTGTATATCATTTTTAGCTTATACATCTCAAGCTATCATCTGATTTATAAATACTCCGTATTTCATATTCTTGAACTTTTATCTACAATAAAAACTCAAACTATATCTTTTTTAACAAGTACTCCGTATACTTTTCCGTTGTTATTTTTCAAAATTACAAATTTATACGTACTATGAATATCAATACTTTATATATAGTTGTATTAAATAACAAATTTTTGCACACCATAATTATCTACGCACACCACAATTTGAGCAATTAGGGCATCTCCATTCATAGGATTATTAGAGGATTAAGTTGGTGATGTGGCGGATTATTTTTGAGATCATGATTGAGTGATAAAGATTATTTGGTGAGATTATATGACAAAATAATCCGGGATTGAAATATGAATCCGGATTATCTCAAGATTATTGTGAACCGAGTATTAATTAGGGAGTGCAGGACCCACAAAAGATCTGATTATTTTGAGATGATGAATGATGTAATTTACAAAGTGTGAGATTATTTTGAAAAAATCTACGTGTCATTAAAAAATCTGATTATTTCAGTATCATGGATGTGGATGCTCTTAGAACTAACACGGGTTTCATCAAAGGTAAATTTGTTAATTATATATATAAGATTTTGTTTATAAGCAATACAAATTTCTCAACTCAAAACTAGAAACAAATGAAGAAATATGAAACAGGAATCAGATTTGTACGTCTCCTTGAATTTTTTTCTTAAATATCAATATTTAATCCAATGAGAGTGCAATTGTGAGGGATGTCCCTCTTTTTTATATATAAAAGTTGAAGAATATGATAGCTATTTTAATTTAATTATAATTGATGATGTATAAAGCTAATAATCCTATTTTATAAACTCTTCAAAGGGTATATATATTAATTCTTTTCAAGGCTTTTCAAAATGTATAAGGTTTTTTAGGATTTGGACAAACAATCCCTAGGTTGAAACTTGAAAGCACAATAGGTGGTTAATAGATTATGACGGGGTTATGCGACTAGGCTCAGAGCCTAATCAGTCCAGGTCCCGAACTTGGACCCGTGAGTCCAAGCCCACGATATGAACTAGCAGACCCAAGCCCATGACCTTTATCTCATCATGTCAGCCCAACTAAAGGGCCCAACAACCCAGAGGTCAAGCTGGCCCAACCGATCAAGCCCATCACGGAGCGGAAGTCCAACAAAGCAAGGGTCCAGTTGAGGGGAAGCCCAAGACGGCATGCCTACCGGACCGACCGGAAGCTTGCCCGCAGCCTTCCGACCTAGCTGGGTGCCTGCCTTCCAGCCCATCCAGGAGCCTGTCTCCAGCCCAGCGAGGGGCCTGCCTCCAGCCCATAGGGAAGTCGGCCTTCAAGCCCAGCAGAAGCCTGTCGTCCAGTCCAACGGGAGGAAGCTCGAGCCTCAAACCTGCCAGCCAGGCCGACCTGCCAGCCAGGAAGAGTAATGGTCAACAATTAATGCGCTATTAAGTATGTATTTAATTTCGTATTAACGTTGTGATTAATTACCCATTAGTATATTTGACACTTATCATTTGTAATCGCCTATAAAAGGCAAGTCCGATTCAAATAATAGATATGCAATTTTTGGAAACTAAACCTCTTTAGCAAGTTTTCATTTCCGTACTACTTTCCTAATTACTATTTGAGTGTCTAATGTGGCTTTCCTAAATGCCTACGAAGGTCCTATTTTCCTATTGTGGATCAACATATTATAAATATAATCTCTTCAAATTGGAATTTAACCTCATTGACTTGCGAACCATTTTAGGGTATCCATCTCCCAATTCTATATATTAAGGAGTTGAGTTAGATACTTAGATTCTTATTTTGAATTTCTATGGTGGGAATTATTATTATTATTACACCTTAAATGCAAGAAATGAAGGAGTATGTATGTTCCTTATATCTTATTATGAGGAAAAAATTTATTGCTACGTCATTTCGGTCAATGAACTTTTGGGGTAATTCTATAGTACTTGATATTTATCAAAATTGCTTTCGATCATGGACGTTTCTTAAAGCAACAATAAAATCCCTTACAAATCAGACGATCCCTCACAATCCCGTTATATTCTTTGGGCGTGTTTGGTGTTTCGCATATTAAGGTTTTGTTGGCAAAATCATTCCAAGCAAAGTTTAGATTAACAATAATTTCAAATGTAATATACAATTACATTATCTAATTAGATGTATAATTCATTTTCATAGATGTATTATGTATAATTCATTTTCAACTTGCAGACAGAGTAAGAATGTTTTCATTTCTGATTTCATTTGCACACTAGACATAAACACTTTAGACCAGACTGAATCAGACCAAATTAGACTTGCTCTTACTTAAACATATATCAAGTTAGAGTAAAATAGACCACACTAGACTCTCAAGATAGTAAGATAAACATAATACAATATCATACATATTCAGACCGGTCCAAACTTAAACATGCTAAACCACATTTAAATAGACCTTATCAAATCAGATCACATGCATGAGAATATTTCAATTCAAGTGGATGCATCCCAACTCCATTGCTTTATATTAAGCCGACTATTTTATTACTCTCCTTTAACAAAAATAAAATTTACACAATGGACAACGTATTTTACATTAAATAAACAACTTAAAACATCTTTCACATACACAGGTTTCAGTCTCAGACAAAAAGTCAAAAACAGACTTAAATAGACACGATCAGAAGATTTCAATTTAACTAAAACACCTTAATCCGGATCATTTTGAAACTACTTAGATAATCACATTTTCACGCTCTGCATAAGTAAACAGTAGTAGAATTGACTACTTACCTAATGAATTAATTGTGGACGAAAGTAAATAGTCTATTGTAGTATACATGCATCATATTCTAAAGGGAAAACTATCAAATATATTTTTGTACTATATTCAAAGAGTCAATTAAGTTGTAATACGGAGTATCAAATAATTTTATGGAACAATCAACTTTAAAAAAAAATACTCAATTTGTCTTTTTAAATGATTGATTATGGGTATGGATAATATATTATGCGTAACCACAGACCTAGACACTCACGTGACATTTTTTATTTCTTTTTTGTTTTTTAACGATGGACGGTGTTAGGCTATTTTAAGCTGCCCCTTATAAGTTCTAACTTCTAAGTAGAGAATTACTCAACATTTAGTTAAAAAATGACTATTTAACCTCTTTTAGTGGAGAATCGCGGCCATCTAGGGTTTGTCCCTAGCAGATTTTTCAGCGGCTTTGGCCTGAGCCAGTGCTTCGAGAGTTATCGCTCAGCAAGAGGAGTACTCTGCCTTCAGTTAAGGCGTTTAGACGGGAAGCAGTTTGCACAGTAGTTCGCACAACAGGGTTTGAGCGATTCTGCCGATTCTGTGCGGTGACGAGAGCGATCGAAAGGCAAGCTGCGCGATGGAGGTTTTTCCGCAGGCGTATACACTGGGGAGCGGTGGAGTCCTGTTTTAGATGGGGGAGACTCTTCATGACGAGGGACGAGAACCCTTGTTGGCAGTCGGTGAAGGATGCGTGGAGTTGCATGGGCTTCAAATAGGCCAGACTTCAATCAACAATGGAGGATCAATTAGAGTGGTATCAGGGGTATGGCCTCCTCCCGAACCACCACCATGGGTTGTGCGAGATACTAGAGTCCGTGAAAGTTTTCCAATAAGTTTTCATTATTTTGTCATTTGGTTTCTTGTTATCATCTATGTTGTTAGGTTTGTCAGTTTGTTTGGGAATTTAGCCTTGTTCGATGTCATTGAACGTGTTTGATCTATAGGAATATGGACGGCTGTGTAAGGCCTGTTACATGGTTAGCGATTCATGTAGCTCTTTCAGTGGGTGACCGTTTCTAAGGCTGATCATAAGGTTTACAGTCGTAGTTGTTGGAGTCTAGTTGGTGTCAGATTTGTTTTTCCTTTGGTTGATGTAATGATTCTGAAACTCATGATATGAATAGAAGCTAGTTTTCGTTAAAAAAAAAGCAGCCCCTTACAAACAAAGTACTTCTGATATAACGATTTTTTAAAAAGCCCCCTAAATCAATCCTGAAATTTAGTATTAATACTTGTGTTAAATTAGAGTCACCCATCTCGAAAAATAATACTCCCTCCGTCCCGCTATGATTGTCTTATTTTACCTTTTCGGGAAATCCCACTAAGATTGTCCCATACCAAATTTGGTAAAGTTTGTGCAACTCTAAACTATTCTTATTTTATTCTTACTTTATCAATTTAATATCAACCACACAAACTCACTTTTCTTAATAATCGTGACACGTTCTCTTGTCTCAATCTTAGTGGGACGGCGGTAGTAATTATTAAGGATGCTTTTTCTTTTGAACTGTTTTCAGTCCAAGACCAGACCAGATTAGACCAAACCACACTTCCGTAGTTATAAAATACACAAGAATCATACATTTACCAGATCAGACTAGATCAGACCATCAAATTTCAGTCCTAAAGAATACATTATATTCTAACTGGTTCATTTCAGCAAGGATAAAATTACAATTGTTATAAAATGTATAAATGACCACAAAATTGTGATGAGCACTTCCTTAGAGTTGAGGACTTGAGGCTTCTAATATAAGAGATGGATGGATATTGTGCTTCTGTAGGTAGACACTAGAAGTTTGGAGAAGCTATCGAGTACTCGAGTCTTTTTTAAATAGAAACAGAGAAAATATTGTGTTTTCTCTCAAAGACAGAATGAAGTGTTCAAATTGCTACTACAATACCTTTGTTAAAATAAGCACCACAACAACTAAAAGGGAGAAGTAAATAAAAGATACAAACACCAATACTATGCTCTTCCACCTCTGCCTCTAAAACCACCACGGCCCCTTGGCGGACCACGTCCACGTGGTGCACCTCTTCCACGGAAGCCACTGCCTCCTCCACGTCCTCTACCTCTCCCTCTCCCACCTCCTCCTCCACCACGGGCTGCTTGTGGATGTCCCCTGTAAAAAGTATCAAAGTCATGCAAGTTCACATCTGGAAAATGGAAACTACTTGCGAACACAACAAATCACATTTCAAAATAATTGAAATGCATGCACACATCATACATTCATACTTAGATTTGATGCCTTGGACTCATCTTTTATTTTCTAATGTTATTATGCACTTCACGATTCCATATGCTGCCCCCCTCTCCCAAATCTAGTTCTCTTATCTAGTTATCTGTGTATTCTGCTCATGTTTTTGTATCCTAAATCACTAGGCTGTGCACCAAAGACATCTCAAAAAACATTCTGGTACATCAATAAAATTGGTATTTATGTGTTATGCAAATTCAATGCCAATATTTTAATTTTAAGCTAGAAATCAAACTACACCCATTGAGGCATTGAATATAGTTTGAAAGAAGTTATGGCCAAGAGCAAGTACAAAATTAATTTCGTTAAATCACAGTTAGTGTCAAGTTTCAAGTTCAAAGTTCCAATACTAATTTATGTAATGTTTTATTCTTTCCTATTTAAATAAGTTAAAGAAACATAGTTCAATTCTTTACGTTCGGAACTCAGCTCATGTTTTTCATAACTTATTTTGCATCATCTAGTATAGAGAAAACCTATAATAGGGCATTATGAAACTTTTACAATGCATAAATGAATTCATTACCTAACTATCAATACAACAAGTAAATCATGATGAAAAATAAAAATGTTAAGGACAACAAGTAAGAATGTCAATCTGAATTGGTAATAAAACTGGGAAAGAAAACGAACTTGGGTAATGGAAGGAACTTGGCTAGGGGCAATAGCTTAGCAGGGTCTATGTAGAACTTATCACCGGAAGAATATGACGACGCAATGATTCCTTCCATCATTTTGATGGAGAACAACTACAAACACAACATAAATCTCGTCAATTTCTATTGAACAGTAAAAATGAAGAAACATATATACACTATGTATATTAAAAGGACGGTTCTTAGCTCACCGACTCATTGATTGGGCCGAAAATCTCATCTACTTTACCAATCTGTGTCTTATTTTGCAGGTAAATAGGAGCGTTGAAATACGGAATCTTCTCATTGGTGAGCTTCGTCACTGCATCTCCTTCGCAAGCGTGAAGAAATGTAGAAACCTCTGCAAATCAAAGGCATCGTTAAATATACAAATCGGCAAATTCATGAACCTGTTCCAGTAATAGAAAAAGGGAAAATCAGAGCGAACCTACGACTTCTGAAGGTGGGCCTTCATCTCGAAAAGAACCGCGACCGCCGAAGCCACGACCTCCTCCTCTGCCAAAGCGGCCGCCGTCTCGGCCTCCCCTAAATCCTCCGCCGTCTCGTCCTCCCCTGAACCCTCCGCCACCACGCCCTCTTGGTGGTCTCATGCTTCACTGTCGCGGCAACCGTGGAGCTGGCTCTCACGACTTGTGTTTAGGACTGCTCCGCTGTGGGTAGTTTTCGGTTCTGGTTAAAAGGGTTTAGGGTTTAAAGTGTCTTTCAAGGCCCATTTTGAGCAGTATTCTGGGCTGCGTGATAAAATTCCCTGGACATCTTAATCCAGTAGCTGAAGGCTGGCCTTTGTGAGAGATATTCAACTTTTGGACATTGGAAAAATTCTCCAAACTCCCATATAGTCCCATGGTTAAAGTACGGTTGAGATTTTTAGAATTGAACTAGTACTAGTATAGTATCCGTACATACGCACGGGAAAGAGCAGCCGACGCAATATTTTTTACTCATGATCTAATTGAATATCAAAATAAAAACAACTTTTAGGATTCTACATTTAAAAAAAAGGGTTCAATAAGCTAATACCATAAAGTATAAGTCCACGCAATATATTCAATGAGAGTACATTAGGAAAAATTAATTGATATCACTCATTACAATTCGTTACTTATAAATTTTTATGATTAGATTAATTTTTAAATTAAATACTATTCTGAAAAAGTGAGTGCCATAAGTGAGTGACATAAAATTTAAGTGAATACAATAAATATTAAAAATTTAAAATTCACGAATATTAATTAAATAAGAACTTTTTACTCATTATCAAATTAGTACTAACATATGAGAGAGAAAAGTATCATGTACCTATGAGAAAACATTCTTCCACTCAATTGTTAGCTGGATTATCTTATCTTATACCTAAAAGCACTACGTATGAGTGAAAAATTATTACTTATTAATTGTTAGTCGGCTTATATTATACTTAAAAGAAATACATATATGATATCTAAAAATAGTACTACATATGAGAGGAAAAATTCTTTCGTTTAATTAGTAGCAAACTATCTTGTTATATCTAAAAAGACTACATATAAGAGAGAAAATTTCCCCGTTCAATTGTTAGTCAGATCATGTTATACCTAAAAACACTACATGCGGAAGATAAAATTTTCACTCTCAATGCAATGGCGGATTATCTTATATACTTAAACAGAACTTCAATGACAGAGAAAATTGTCTCACTCAATTGTTAGCAAGTTTATTTTCTTCGCTTCTTATGCCTAAAAGCACTACATACGAGAGAGAGAATTATCCCGTTCAACTGTTTAGTCTTCTTATCTTATACTTAAAAAACTATACATGAGGGAGAAAGTTATTCCGCTCAATTGTTAGCAAGCTTATCTTCTAATACCTAAAAGTACTACATATGAGCGGACCCCCCCCCCACTCAATTGTTAGCAATTTTATCTTCTAATATCTAAAAGCACTAAATATGAAAAAGAAAATCACCCCGCTCAATTATTAGCAAAATGATCTTCTTACTATAACTCTTACATATGAGAGAGAAAGTTCATCAGCTCAATTGTTAGCCGGCTTACCTCATAACTAAAAACATTGCATATGAGAGAGAAAAATTATTCCGCTAATTGTTAGCTGAATTATCTTATACTTAAAAGAACTATATATGAGAGAAACTTCTATTGCTCAATTGTTAGCAAATTTATCTTCTAATAACTAAAAGTAGTACATATGAGATAGAGAGAAAATTCTCTCGTTCAATTGTTAGTCAGATCATGTTATACCTAAAAGCACTACATATGAAAGATAAAATTTTCACTCTCAATGCAATGGCGAATTATCTTATATACTTAAACAGAACTTCAATGACAGAGAAAATTGTCTCACTCAATTGTTAGCAAGTTTATTCCCTTCGCTTCTTATGCCTAAAAGCACTACATATGAGAGAGAGAATTATCCCGCTCAACTGTTTAGTCTTCTTATCTAATACTTAAAAAACTATATATGAGGGAGAATGTTATTCCGCTCAATTGTTAGCAAGCTTATCTTCTAATACCTAAAAGCACTACATATGAGCGGACCCCCCCCCCCCCCCCCCCGCGCGCTCAATTGTTAGCAATTTTATCTTCTAATATCTAAAAGCACTAAATATGAAAAGGAAAATCATCTCGCTCAATTCTTAGCAAAATTATCCAAACTCCCTTATAGTCCCATGGTTAAAGTACGGTTGAGATTTTTAGAATTGAAAATCTAAGTATTGAAGAGAATTGAATCATTTTGAATAGAGCTGGATTGATAGCATTGAAATTAGCTGAATCAACTAATTCTGTTGAGATTCATGAAGTTCTAAGAAAGGTGGTTACACTGACTGAATCGGTTAAATTATGAATAAATTATACTATGTTTTTGAAATATGTTATATTAATGAAATAAAGTCAAAACAATATGAAAAATTGCTAAAATAGCCCTCTATGATAACTTCAACCAATATAGCCAGAATAGTAATTCCAATCATACTTATTTTGGCTATTACATAATTTAACACGCAAAATCTAATGTTAAGTGTTTGATGAAAATGTTGATAGATAAGGCAAGCAGATAAATAGAAAAACATTATCCCCAAGCGGACTCTAGATAATTCGATCCCTGCCTGACTGCCTATGATTTACAGATTCTTAACAATTTCAACTTTAGTCTATGTTAATGATTCAGTTTCGTTTTTTTTGTCATTTAAGATGTTTTTTTTGTCATTTAAGATGATCGATGTGAGATCCTATTTTAAAAATTTGGTGACAGTTGGTGTTCGTAGGTCGTTAGTTTTTATCATTTTTGTTTTTATCATCAAATATTGCGTGAAATAAAGACTCAATGCCATTAGTTTCTATTAATTTTTAAATCTGTTCTGACCCCTGAGTTAATTTTTAATAATGAATTTTGAAAATAATTTTTTTTTTAAAAATAGGTTGATTTTTCAAAAAAATTAATACATGATAGTTGCGTATTAACAATTACATTTATTCTGTCGAAAAACAAAAAACAATTACATTTATAAAAAAATGCCAAAATGGGGTTTTGTCACCAAAAATTAAGTGTATCCTATAGTTGCAACCTGCAAGATTTAATGGCTTCATTAGTATGTAGACTCCTCCTATACTAATGAGTAATGACACGATACTACAAATCTTCATTTGTCCGAAAATAACCCACTAAACCTAAATATGCACAATATGAATTTAGCTCCTCTCCAGTAAGGATGTTTTTACTTGGACTGTAATTTGCCCCAGACCAGACCAGACCAGTTCAGACCAGACCAGACCAGACTTGGATAGTTATAAATATACAAAGAAACCAGACCTTACTAGACCAGACCAGACCAGACCAGTTCAGACCAGACCAGCAAATTACAGTCCAAGTAAAAACATCCTAACTGGAGTTCTCCATTAGGAGAGAGATAGAGTGAGATAAGGAAATGGTGGGGTAGGGAGAAAGAAAAAGATGAGATTTAATTATTACTCCCTCCGGTTTTTAATAAACTTCACACTTTCCTTTTTGGAACGGTCTAAAATAAACTTCACACTTCCTTATTTCCTTTTTTTGGCAAAGAAATCTACATCAAAACAGTGTCACACAGTGTCAAACAGTGTCTCAACAGTGACAAACAGTGTCTCAACAGTGCCAAACAATGTCAAACAGTGTCTCAACAGTGTACTCTACAGTAAAGTCAAATTTCTTTCCTTATTTTGTGTGAAGTCAAAGTGTGAAGTTTAATAAAAACCGGAGGGAGTATTTTTTAGGAGAGAGATAGAGTGAAAAAGAAATGGAGAGAGTAAATGGAAAAAAGGAAATGGAGATGAGTATGACTCACACAATATATGGTACTTTTGCTAACTTCTCCCAATTTTTATTACCTAACATTCATTCTTCATCTTTTATATCAATTTATAATGCATGTGCACTAACTTTTACTTTCCAAATTGAGAATAGCTTACATATCAATTTTTAGATTTTGGTTGCCATGGCTCCTAGCCTCCTATGATTGGGTAACTCGGGAGTCGGCTCACCTCATATCAAGGGGTGGATTCGGTCCCGGTCCGGTCCCAGTCTTATCTCAATCATTGATAGAATAAGCTCAGGTCTGATCCGGTTAAATCCATATGCTCCAAGTAGTATAAGAAATTTACAGTAGCTTTCATCATCCTTCTTATCTAGGCAGAATTTAATCCAATTGAAGAACATGCCTTTATGTTTCCTCTCCCACAGATTTCACAGTCAATTGGGACTACTACACCTCTTGTAACACCCCGGCCCCGTAGGACCCGAGGTAGTTACTCCGGACCAATAGTACTGTCCCCACAAACCACCACAAGCCTTTACCGCGCACTTTGTCCTCACTCGTGCGCGCCCTGAGAAACTTCCCAGGGGGTCACCCATCCCAAGACTACTCCCATGCAAGCACGCTTAACTTTGGAGTTCTTGGGTGATGAGCTCCCTTAAAAGGAGATGCACCTATGTTGGTATGAGTAGTACTATTAATCCGTTTATATTAAATCTCAAGTGTTACAATCACCCCCACTTAGGATCGCAACGTCCTCGTTGCGCCCTTAAACCAATCTCAATCAAATCCCAGAATCTTTTCCCCTGCTAGGTGTCTGCCCGATATCCAACGAATCAGCACACTGTCGCAGGGTTGCTCTGATACCACCTGTAACACCCCGGCCCCGTAGGACCCGAGGTAGTTACTCCGGACCAATAGTACTGTCCCCACAAACCACCACGAGCCTTTACCGCGCACTTTGTCCTCACTCGTGCGCGCCCTGAGAAACTTCCCAGGGGGTCACCCATCCCAAGACTACTCCCATGCAAGCACGCTTAACTTTGGAGTTCTTGGGTGATGAGCTCCCTTAAAAGAAGATGCACCTCTGTTGGTATGAGTAGTACTATTAATCCGTTTATATTAAATCTCAAGTGTTACACCTCTCTTCCTTAGATCGGTTGTTGTAGGTAGGCAATTATCCATAACTGGAAAAAGAAATACTCCCTCTGTCCTGCTAAGATTGCCCCATTTTACCTTTTCGGGAAGTCCCACTAAGATTGTTCCATACCAAATTTGGTAAAGATTGTGTGACTCTAAACCATTCTTACTTTATTCTTACTTTATCAATTTAATATCAACCACACAAACTCACTTTTCTTAACAATCATGCCATTTTCTCT